ACATGATCAATTATCACGGGAGAATCCAAATAGACTTGAAGGCGATGAATATACTGTATATATTATTCTGATATCCACATTTGATAAGCTCCCGGTACCTCTTCAATGGTTCAGGCAACACTGTCCAGTGTGGTTCCCGTTATCAGTTCTTGATTAACCTCACTGTGCAGGATTGGGTAGACTCACTTGTGGACACATAAACTGCGCCTATATATGACCACATTGGTGTATCGTTTATTAAAGGGTGTTCTCGGAGGATTAAGGTTGTCCTGCTTAAATCTACCTTTTCTTATGGAAGGCCGATTTAGATTTAAATTAATTTTTTAATGATTCTATGAAGTAAAATCAGAAATAAGAATAAAAATCTGCATGTAGATTAAAAGTTATGACCATTTATTTATAACAGAAGCTAGATGAGCCACCTATGACATGAAATGGAGCCATGTACAGTTCCCTTCACTCGTGCTTTTACAGGGGCTCATTTTATAATCATTCCACAAATCATTATCTCTGAGACATTTGTTTTAATGTTATTTTAATTTGATTCCATAGTATGTTTACTATTGCTAGTTTCCATTATTCGAATGTAGACAAACACTCTACAAAATCTGACGAACCCCTGTAAACACACTAGTGAAAGTACTGTACATTCAGAAAGCTTAGCCAATAAAATTTATATGAAAATTAAACGCTGAAGGTGACTTTTTGTGAAAAAAAGTGTTTGGTACACAAAGTACACAAACATGACCTTTTTGGTGAAAAAACCTCCCACTCAATTGCTAGTTCTCTTGTTTCTCCTTTCACTTTCTGCCATGTGATTGGAATACACTACCTCTAGTGGAATTCACAGTATTTATGTCAAGGTAGTCCAGGGCATACGGTGGTTAAATTCTATTTCATGACCTTATCAGCCAATGTACAGCTTTTTGAATCCATGACATCAATGAATTTAGACTTATAATTGCCTTTTAACTTTTGAGTTTGCAAAGTCGCTACCCATTCCAACTTTTGTTATTTCTTGTTTTAAAGTAACCCTTGTGTGTTTTTAAGGTATTTGAACTATCTCCTTCACTTGTTTATGAACATATTTAATAGAAACTGTACAACATTTACGACAGCTTGATGAAATAGAGAATAGCATTTTTACAAGAAAATATCGTATAAAAGACAATAAGTATATTTTGTGTTGCTTATGGTCTCCGCAAGGATTCCATGAAGCATTCTCTTGCTTGATCATTATAATGTTATTTAGTGATGTGATCAGCCTAGAGTGTCTTCTGAGTATCGTAAGGACAGGAGGATCCCTGGACGGTCTTGACGAAGCGAGTCGTGTCAACATTGATGTTCTTGAACGCAGCTTCACATTTCTTTACATATTGGTCAGCAAGGTTGGCAGAGCGAGAAAAGATGAAGGAAAAGTCGGAATGATATCCGAAATTGTAGTCGATGCAGGAGTATAGGCAGGCGTAGTTAGAGTAGTCTGTCTCCAGGATAACCAACGGGGCGGCGAAGGCTGGCGGAAGGAAGAATAATAATACAATTATCAAATGGTAAATTATGAATGGACAGTACATGTAATTGCGATAGGTTCAATAAGCATTCTCGAATTCCTTGTAGGACCTAGGAACTGATGGGCGATTTTGTAAGAAGTTTCCTATAGAGCATTGAACACCCCTGAGGAGGGCTCTTGTTAACTAATGACTAATTTTTGGTCTATTTGTTTTTCTGATGTGTGTGTGTGTGTGTGTGTGTGTGTGTGTGTGTGTGTGTGTGTGTGTGTGTGTGTGTGTGTGTGTGTGTGTGTGCATTAGGTTTCTTTAAATTATCAAAATAATATCATAAAATCAATCGTAAACATTATCAAACATGACCACAATTAGGGATAATTTAGGAAAGAATATGGAACGCTGGCAGTAAAGGCTTACAGTTCTCGTAGTCAATGGAGAGATGGGGTTCACCGAAGGGGTTGGGATACAGTTTACCATTACGCTTCAACAGATTACCATCATAGGCAATGCCAGTCGAGGTAATCACAAACTGCTCTCCATCTGTTGGATAGAGATTGAACACAATGTCACATTTCATCGTTCACAAACAACAGTTTCCTGTCACAAGTATTCGTCATTAACTTTAAAATAAAATTTAGAAACGATGACAAAGATGGTTAAGAAGATCTTACCAAAGGAATATTCGTTGCGGACACATTTTTCAATCAGTTGATACGGATTATTGGTGAGAGCAAACTGATACCATACACCTGCATACTGAAAAAAATGAAAATATTATACAAAAGGAATTATACACACTTGACTATTCATTGTTATACTGAGAGCCTTATGTTTTATTTTAAATTGGTTAGGTTAGGTTAGGTTAGTTTAGGTTAGGTTAGTTTGAATTGGGTTAGGTTATGTTAGTTTGGATTGGGTTAGGTTAGGTTAGTTTGGATTGGGTTAGGTTAGGTTACAATAAATACCAAATTTCGCTTTCTGGTTATTTTTAAAATAATTACAACTCGTTTTAGGTTTTTTCAAAATAACCAGAAAGCGAAATTTGGGTACTTAGAACTTAAGAAAATATATAACGTTGAATAAAATTGTTCAAAATATCTTTTTTAATAGTTATATGTGTAGAGAAAACTCACGTTGTTGCGGTTGGGTGTCTGTTCGGCCCACAACTTGTTCCTGTCAACAGAAGCACACTTGCCGGGGACCACGAAGTCTGGGATTTTGTCAGCGGCGACGGAGGCCACAAAGACCAGCAGAATGCTCAGTGAATTCATGGTGTAAAGCTTGACTATGTTCTGAGTGTCTACAGATCCTAAACGCTCTTTATATAGTATGGTCTCTGATGGGCAACACTAGCTCCGCCCACCAAGGTTAACACGTGAATTCATATTTGTTATTTTCCCTTCATGAAGTGTAACTAATGCTCCTTTTAGAATATATAGGTAAATACATATGTTTTTATTGATGAAGGTTACGACTAAATATTCACATATCACAACAATCTCAGATGAAATTTTGAAAAGTAAAAACCTGACGTGGAATCTGTTGGTAATGCTGCCGTCCCATCACAGGTACTCTACAGACTCCACCCTCTACTGGGAGTCTGGGTCCGGGTGGCGGTTCATATAAAAGGGCTGGGATACATTTGTTACTTAGTGCATAACCAAGTCTCACCATGTTTACAACAGTAATTGCTGCCGCTCTCGTGGCTTGCGTGGCTGCTGATGGAATTCCAAGTTTTGTAACTGCTGGCAAATGTGCGTCAGTAGCAAACCAGGACAACTTCGACCTCCGTAGGGTTAGTGTCAAGGTTTTTTTATTTTGCTTATAATAAATTAGGGCTACAGGGCTTAGTGGTCAAACTAAGTTAACTTCCATGTCACCTCACCTTTGTCATGCCTCACATTGTTAGATGTCGTTTGTTACACAAGTATAATTAGTAAGTTGAAATTAATATAACAACTGATTGTCCTTTTCCTCAGTACGCTGGTCGTTGGTATCAAACCCACATCATAGAAAACGCTTACCAGCCGCCAACTCGATGCATAAACTCCAACTATGAATATTCCGGGAATGACTATGGCTTCAAGGTGACCACCGCTGGCTTCAACCCAAATGACGAATACGTCAAGATAGACTTTAAGGTCTACCCCACTAAGGAGTTCCCAGCCGCTCACATGCTCATTGATGCTCCCTCAGGTAAGTTATTACTGACGTAGTACAACGTAACCAAATGCCACGATGAAATTATTTTTAACGGGTTTTCGATATCGAGCAATAGAAAACTTTATAAAAATGAGATCATACACGGGTATTCTCTGGTTATAGATTTGCATAGGTTATTAAATAAACGTTTACCACTGAAGAGCCTCATTACTGACAAGGGTTTTTGTTTCTGCAGTGTTCGCTGCCCCCTACGAGGTGATCGAGACAGACTACGATACCTACTCCTGCGTCTACTCATGTATCACCACCGATAACTACAAATCTGAGTTCGCCTTCGTGTTCTCCCGGACACCCCAGACCTCAGGACCCGCCGTAGAGAAGTGTGCTGCTGTCTTCAATAAGAACGGTGTTGAGTTCTCCAAGTTTGTACCTGTTCCACACACGGCTGAGTGTGTCTACAGAGCTTAAGACATTAAACTACATAGATTAATGTGTGACTATTCCATAGCCAATGGTGTCTGAGTGGAAATTACAGATAGTTTCCAAGTATAATATTACTCGAGATGACTAAAGAGACCATTTGCACCGAGTTGAAAATTATAGTTCTCAGTTCCCGACAAAGTACTTCTACTGAAGGCTTTAACATAAATGTAATTATGTATAAATATAAAACTAGACCTAATCGTGTGTTAAATAATGTATGTATGAAAATCTCTATTAATTAAACTTGGAAGTGAAATTTGTTATTTTGTCTATCATCTGACTCAAAATATTTGGTGAAAATACATTAATTAAAATATCCCTAAATTGTCTTAAGAAAACCTGGACTCAATATTCGATATTTCTCGACAAATGAGAAAATAAAAGCCTGATGACTCTAACACTCTAGAGGTAATATTTATTCTCAGATAGATAGTATCAAGTTATAGTAGTTTCTTTAGAGCATTGTTCTTGGGGATATGAAGGAAACAAAACTTCTCTGTGATTAATTCATAGACAGGGGCGGCCTTTAGAGCCTTCAACATCGAGGGCTCCCAAGTGTTCAGTGAATCAATCTTTTTGTTATATACACCGAGAAAGTCGAACAAAAAATCTAGATGTCCTCTGCATCTGATTCTGCAGGGAATCGGAAGTAGAGATGAAATTCACAAATTTGCTGGTGCAGGATGGAACTGGCTAACAACTGTTAGGTCAGAGTGTGACAATTTGGGAGAGGATTTCGTCCTGCGTTGGACTAATATAAGATGATGATAATCATAATGATGATACTGTAAATGAGTCCCAGTTTATATTATCTAGTATGATTGTTTTATTGTATGATATGTCATTGGTATAAGTGATTTTTTTCTGAGTTGATTAGGGACCCCTTCAAGCAATATCTTACCCGCCCTTAAGGGAAGGTTTCTCAAGAATGCTTGGTCAAAGAGAACAAAAATTGTTACAAGACCCATTATGAACTGGTTTAAGTTCTTAATGTCTGTTATAATTAATCTTACATTTCATATAAGAGTTTGTGATATAAATACTAAGCACTGGAACGGGAAATATATTTTTTTCTTCTTACTGCGGAGATATGGAAAATACTTGGTTTTTCTAATTAACTACCGATAAAGGCAGTACAAGGACTTCTTATGGCATTTGGAGGGGCCTCCCAAATAGCTAAGGCCGCCCCTGTTTATATTTTTTATTAACAGTGACTGTTAAGACTGAGTGTCTCTCACTCAGCCAATTTTGGATGAAACAGTAGCCAAGTGTCCGATTTTGTCTAAAGCAATGCTTAGAATCTTTATGCATTTTCCATCCATATTCATGTTTCTTATGATAAAACTAAAGAGGATTTCATACTGAAGATGATCTCCATTGTGTTGTATCCAAAAACATCCCCATAGATTGAAAAGTTAGTAATAGAAAACGGTCCTTGGCTGGATCTAGCCATCCACTAATGCTATAGTTTCGAATTTATTTATTAATTAGGTGGATGGTAGGTGAAGATTTGTGATATTATGTAGAGCTCTCCTCTTATAAATTTAAATGACAGAAAATGATAGCTATAATAATAGTCAAGCTAGCCTACCAAGACTTTGCTTGGACGAAGACATCTTGCAAGCACATCAGAAGTGTATTTCACGATAAAATTTTGCCTTAAGTAAATGTTCGAGGTTTTTGTCACTATTTCTGTGTAGATTGTAAGAAAGTGGAACAAGAATAGATGCAATCGTTGTATATGAACACCGATATAATATATTCTTGTGTCTGAATAAGTAGGTATTGTTAGTCTGTGTTTATAAAAGGATGTTGATACACACTGCATCTTTCCCAACTAGAAGCTTCTGGTAATGCACACGAATAATTGCGCACATTTACGATGATAAATACAGAGCTACGATAAAATCGTAATTAAGTATTAGTATGTTAACCCGTCGAGCGCTAATCTCGTACTTATACGGGATGGTTGACCAGCCACGACCAGCGCCTACCCCGTAAAAGTACGTGACAAGATTTGGCTTTGTCAATATCAGTCCCATTCATTGACAACTGGGACAACTTCTATGGCAGAAGGGACCTTTATGCTAGGGATGGGGTACACCTGTCTCGGGATGGGGTGGCAACCCTGGCTGGGTCTCTACAGGGGGCAGTTCAAACGATATCGAAGTCTTTAAACTGCTAGGGAAACATATGGGCACGGGGGTGGAGGAGACTGCAGTGTGAGCAGGTAAACAAAGTGAAAGATTACAGGGAAATAGTGTTAGGAATGATGACAAAACTAAATTAGACAGGGAGTTTAAACCTAAACGCGGTAAAGGGAGGACTCAGAACACGACTAACTTAAATGTCTACTACGTGAACGGTAGAAGTATGAGAAACAAAATGGATGATATTAGGGCCTTGGTATGTACCGAAAAAATCGATATAATAGCATTCACTGAAACATGGATGAACCTAAACTCATGTGAGTTACCGGTTGAATACCAAATTGCGGATTACAAATTGTTCCATACTGATAGGCAGACCAGGAAAGGAGGTGGGGTAGCAATCTATGTCAGGGATAATCTGAAGTGTGAAATAATTAAGGAAATAAAAACTGAGCGGAATTCAGAAACAATTTGGATAGAATTAATCGACGGTAGGGAAAAATTAATCATAAGAGTGATTTATCTGGGATGAAATGCACAGGGCTTCCATACACAACAAAGTCTGTATAGTAGGCGACTTTAACCTTGGCCAAATAGATTGGACTGACATTACCGGTAACTCAGAATCAGAGGATTTTCTCGAAACGATCCAGGACTGTTTCCTAAGTCAACATATAACCGAACCCACCCGGGGTAATAATATACTCGATTTAGTTCTGTCGAACAGAGAAAACCTCATTAGCAATGTCGAGGTAGGGAACGAGCTTGCAAACAGCAATCACAAAGAAATTAGATTCCAGTTAGATTTTCAGGGCAGACGTAAGGAAAATTCCACTAAAGTACCACATTTCAGAAGGGCAAACTTTGACAGTTTAAAGAGGCAGCTGAGGGAGGGGGTTTTGCGCTTGGGGGTGAGGAACATGACCTGGCATGAGGTGACCTCACTCAATGCACCCACTGAGGGCGACCTCACCATACCAGGAGACCTGAAGGCTGTGACTGACCTGATAACGAGATCTGAGATTGCCGAGTTCCACAACAATTTAAATAATGAGTTACTTTATGCACAAAGGCAGAACATACCATACAAAATACTCAGATCAGACAACAATGACCCTAAATGGATAAAATAAAATTTAAAGAACATCATTGGCCAAAGGAAGGCTATAGGTAGAAGGATAAATCGTGGCGAAATTTACCTCCGGGATTATTATAAGGTATTGGTGAGTAAGGTTAAAACCGAGATTAGGAAAGCTAAGAGGAATAATGAGGTAAGGATAGCAAGGGAGGAGAAGACAAACCCCAAAGGATTCTACCAAATGTATCAAACTAAAACACGAGAAAAGATTGGACCATTACGGTCAGATACCGGTGAGCTAACTGATAACGACGGAGAAATGAGCAATAATCTGAATAAATATTTTTCAACAGTTTTCACCACAGAAAATTTAAACATGATACCCGAGGCACCGACTCTATTCAGAGATAGTGAAGAAAACAAATTAAGCGAGATAGTAGTGACTAGTAACGATGTTAGTAAGCAAAAAGACAAACTAAAGCCTAATAAGTCACCTGGTCCCGATGAGATATTTGCTAGAGTACTAAAGGAATATAAGGAAGAGCTTAGTATGCCCTAAGCAAAGTTGTTTAACATGTCCTTAAAAACAGGTGTAGTACCAGAATCCTGGAGGTTATCGAATGTAATACCGATTTTCAAGAAGAGGGATAGATCACTATCCTCTAACTACTGCCCAATCAGTCTAACATCAATAGTAGGCAAATTACTGGAAGCAATCATTTCAAACTCTATTCGAAATCACCTGGAGAAGCACAGATTGATCAATGATTCTCAGCATGGCTTCACAAGCGGGAGTTCATGTCTAACTAATCTATTAACATTCTTTTCATCAGTTTTCGAATCGGTGGACGAGGGGCACAATTATGATGTGGTATATCTCGACTTTAGCAAAGCCTTCGACAGAGTTCCCCACGAAAGACTAATTAAAAAGGTAGAAGCACTTGGCATCAAAGATAATATCCTTAAATGGATTAGGGCGTGGTTACAGGACAGGAGACAGCGAGTGAGCATTAACGGCACTAAGTCCCATTGGAGCAACGTTACTAGTGGAGGTCGCCAAGGTTCAGTACTTGGACTATTATTATTCATTATATACATAAACGACATAGATATCGGCATAGACAGCAACATAAGTAAATTTGCTGATGACACTAAAATAGGACGTGTTATTAAATCTGACGAGGACTCCGCAAAACTACAGGAAGATCTAAAAAAAAATTTCGAAGGGTCTGAAAAATGGCAGATGAAATTCAACTTCGACAAATGTAAAGTACTCAGTATAGGAGATGTAAACAGGGAAACCAGTTACCAGATGAACAAAGATGCCATTGAGAAATCCGACTTCGAGAGAGATTTTGGAGTAATGATAAGTAGGAACCTTAAGCCAAGTAAACAATGTGTTTTTGCTCGTAACAAGGCTAATAAAGTACTTGGGTTCATACAATGGAGTCTTAGTTACAAGACTAGCTAGGTCATCCTAAAACTGTATCTTGCGCTTGTGAGACCACACCTGGATTACGCAGTTCAGTTCTAGTCACCGTATTTCAGAATGCATATAGAATCTTGGAAAGAATCCAGAGGAGAATGACAAGACTAATCCTGGGCATTAGGAACCTTGAGCATAGAGACAGGTTAAATCATCTTAATTTGTACTCCCTCGAGAGATGTAGAGCGAGGGGCGACCTGACAGAGGTGTATAAATGGAAGTCAGGGCTAAACAAAGGGGACATTACAAAGGTACTCAAACTATCCAACCAGGAGCGAACTCGAAACAATGGTTTTATATTAGACAAATTTAGATTTAGGCGCGAAAAAGGAAAACACTGGGTTGGAAACAGAGTAGTGGATGAATGGAACAAGTTACCAAATATCACCATAAACTCGAATACGCTGGATAGCTTCAAACATATGTTGGATGCTTATATGAGCAATAGGGGTTGGGTGTAAACGGGACTGCCCAGTATGGGCCAATAGGCCCGCTGCAGTTTCCACCATTCATATTTGTGGTAGTAGCGAGATGCGCTACTA